AGGGTCGAGGGGGGTCTTCAGGCAGCCTGAAACAAGAAGTGAAAAGCGCTGAAGTGAACTCAGCAAGTCTTGTGCACCGCAGATTCACGTAGGACCCCACATACCAACCTGTTTGGTATGTAATTTCTTTTCTTGGGTGACCACGCTTTTAATGAGTTCGCTGATTTGCGGGGAGAATTCGATCTTATCATTTCAAACCCTGAGACCTCAAGGAAAACCAAACCTTCGCCCTTTTGGTCCCGAAAAGCTTTCTTAGCCATGGCCTCTGGAGGTCTGAGGTATGGATGTTTACCACCAATACTGTGGATGGTTGAAATCGAAATCCGAGACCGCACCACAAAATGAAACCATGGGAAGGAAACTATAACGTTCGTTGGTACGTACAAAGGAATCGAATCATCCCAGAAAATTGTTCGGGGCGAAATGGGATTTTGTCCATCCACAGTATGGTGTTGCCATGTTTTGCCTGCGCAGCTAATACCCTTGAAAAAGTGGTACCTCTTTGAAAAGTGGTTGCATTTCTTCGGCAAATTGGGGCTTGCCGGATGGAGTCCTTTCGGTTGCTCACATGATTGTGCAAGAGATCGGAACCAATTCCTTGAACCCGTTGAATCCGGGGGGTGGGAACCCCGCTAAGCCATCATGAGGGACATGCTGATGCAACAACAAAGTGGCCCCAACTCCCTGTTACAGTTGATTCCCCAAATTGCGCAAGTCCAGTGACCCTCACAAACCATTCTAAGCTACAGGGTTGCCCTTGTTTCCCAGGTGCAGCACAAAGAGAATCAACTACAATTGGTGTCTTCACTTCTTGTTCGCGGTAAGATGTAAGCCCTAAGTCAAACCTGCCCTGGTAGGAAAGCAGTGGTCCTCCTTCCATATACGAGTGGAAGGGAAAGTTGCACTTCTCATCCAACATCCCAACCAGCCACTAAGTCACTAGATCATCCCAACCCGGGCATTGATGGGAACAACCTAATCCGATCAAATCTTGATATATCTATCCCCCAAGCACAAACTAATCTTTCAGATGACTCCAGAGAAACACTTGCAAAATGTCGGGTGCCAGCAACATCATTTCATCTGAGTGGTTCCATTTAAACATTTACCTGGATAGGTCACCCTGAATTATCCAATTCTTCAACCTGGAAAATGTGGGTGTAAATGTCGTTTGGGGACTCTTTGGTGGACATCATTTGGGCTGGGATTTGTGTCTACCAACAATTTGGGATTGTGTTCCCTTTTTCAAAGTCATATCCAGATGACCTGCCCGGAATCTGCGCGGAATCTTCCACTGAACCCCACTTCTCAGGCAGCTGCGTCAGATGATTTGGCTCCGACCTATTTGAGACCTCGCGGAACGGTTCCGCGCGGGTTTTTCCCAGCCGCGCGAAACGAAGCCAAGCGGAGGGACTCGGCGATTTTATTTTTTTGCCAGAACTCCAACAGCTGAGCCAAGTTGGATCCCCAGGTCCATTGGGACTTTTACGAAAATCGGTTTTTCGAGCCGCGATTTTTTTCCCCCCCGAATCGGCGGGTTTCGTGAAAGAACGCCAGAAAGAAAGGCAGAGGGAATGGATCAACACAAACCACTTCAGTCTCAGACCAGAGGCCTCAGTAAGACCCGGGGGGGGGGATCCTTGCGACTGCTGATGCTCCGAAGACTGATAAGGGTGATTTGAGTTGATGTCAAAAAGGGACCCTGTTTTCACGGCTTCTCTGGGAAACAACCCGAAATCTTCTTTGGTACCCAGCTGGATACCTGACGATTCCCACCTTTCCAGAGCTTGGCCCACTGAGGTACACAGAAAACATATCCTCCCGTCCACACAGAACCTGACTGAGTCCTGGAAGACGTGGGTTCCTTTCAGCATCTGGTGGGTTCTGTTCGTGGGAACAGGAGGGTCATCTGGGCTGTCCAGATCCCCTGCAAACAGTTTCACTTTGAGTGGGTTCAATGGAAACCACCTCTGAACCACTAAAAAGATCTCCAAAGCTAAGGAACCAAATCTCGGTTGCTTTCTGCTCCCCTGCTAAAAGTTTAACTTTTAGTGGTTTAGTGGAAAACCCATTAGTTGGCAAAAAGTTCAAGTCCTAACAGCCAAGCAAACACCAAAGAAATGGCTGGGAGCCACCCAGCAAAAGGAGGTCACTTTCAGTTTCCAGTGGGGTAGGCCGGTCTGGCAGCGTGCATCGCTGGGAACTTGTCCGCCTTTCCTTCGGAAAGCGCGAGTTCCGGGAGAATAGTGCAGCGGTCTCAGAGGTCTGAGACTCAGACCCCAGTGGCGATGAAAGAGACAAACCCACATGTGAGATGTTCGAGACACCCAAAGGGTTGAGATTCAGATTCAGGTCTGAAGTGGCTTTGAGTTGCCACTTCTGATGTAGTCGTTATGAGGTCTACCTGGAGTCTTCATGACCCACAATAAAAATAGGTCCATCACCAACCATGATCTAGGGTAATGACCAACCATCCTTAAAGGGTCATGGAGACTCTAGGTACCAGTACTGGTTAAGTTGATTGCAATTGGAAACTCCTCACTTCCGATTGAGTGGATGGACCAAAAAAAGTACCCAAACTGATCATGGAACATGAAAACGGTCTTCCAAAGTAGTTCTCAAAGTCCAGCAACTCAGGAAGCGAGAGCTGGGCTCCTCATCGACATTGTTCAGCTCCAATCCGATTTTCCATCATCCCTATTCTGGACAACCACTACAAAGCGGGCCAAATCCTTGCAGAAGGTCGGGATCTTGCGGATTACCTTCGAACAGCCGCTGGGCGCCACTGGGAGTCCGGACGGGTGATGCAACGAGTCGGACGGGTAGTCGTTAGTCACCACTCTGACCTTTATGTCGCTGGCTGGCTCCAAGCCGCTCCCAAAGGTCAATAACCTTTTGTAGGTTTTATGGACGGGCTTGTTTCCAAAAGGGCAAAGTCGGGGCGTTTGCTCACCCCAAAGTCCAGCCATCTTTGTCAGTTCTGGGCTTCGGCACAGAACGAAAGGCCTTAGACCCGGTCGTGCGGATTGGATTCGCTGTGAAGCATCCGGCGCGAAGGATCCTTCAAACTCCTCGTTGGGGGGAAGATCTCTGCGCAGCTTCGCAGGCAAACGGGAGCTAGGCCCGTCAACGAGCTGTGAGACGGCAGTCGCGGCATTTTTTTTGCCGGAACCCAGCAGCGGGTTTTAGAAACCAAACACAGTTGACCAGACCAGTGCAAAGTTGGCCATGGGTCAAAATCCCGTACCCCCAGTAAACATCCCAATCCCCACTAAAATACAGCCTCAAATGGGTGGTGCACCTCCCCAAAATGGATCCCGTTGGCTTTGACCCAAACCCAGTTGACCAGACCGCAGAACTGCAGAACTCCCCTCACATGCGTCCCCCGACCTGGAGCCACCTCAAAACTCCACATGCCCAACCAAACGGTGCTCGCTCGCGGAACAGGCGGTCTTGGTTTGACGAAAGGATCTGAGCCACTGTCAAGAAGCGAATCCTCCGTTTGCTTAAGTCCCCTAGAAAAAAAAACATATTTCAAGTAGTGATAGATTCCCTTTACAAACCAACAGGGGAAAATAAACAATATTCTTAACCAAATGGAAGGAATTGGTGTCCCCGTGGACCTGACCTGTCTGTGCTTTTTTTGTGAAACTCATTCCCTCCCAAATTGAAGTGAACCGAAAAACCAAGGCATTTGGCGGATCCCCTCGTTTCGACATGCAAGGCAAAAACCAAATCGAAAGAAAGCGGCAGAGATTTGGAGCAAGCCTCCGGTAGATGACCCCTTCAAGAAGCTACATAGTGGGGAAGCAATCTCAGATCCCGTTACCACTATGGGTAACCATGTTCCTCAAGTAAGGTTGGTTGAATTGGTTTCCTGCTAAAAAGTACGTCAAAAGAACATCACAGGAAACTATTCCAAGCAGCTCGGAGACGATTGAAGCTTCCCAGAGGGTCGCTGGGGACTCCGTATTCAGGTCATGTAGAAACGCGCTCACCGATGGGGGAGGAGTGAACACGAATGGTGAAAAATGCTGCGCGGTGAACAAGGTGCTTTTCGCACTAGGTTATGACTTTTGCCGCTGCAAGCATTCTGACGGTGCCTCACAGCCCTCTGAACAACATCAGGATAGGCCCCCCATCAAAAGAACAGTGGTTTAACACACCATGTTGGGCCACACGGCAAAACATGGTCGAAAATAAAGGCTTTACTTAGGGAAGCCATCGATTTGGTATGTACTCACTCACGGTGAAATGGTGGTAAATTCAGAAACACAGCGGTCTGCAGCAAATGACCAGCAGCTACCAGCCCATTTTGAGCCCAGTAAAGGGCGCTTAAAGCACAGGGCCATACAGGGCCCCTCGTGACCAGAACTGCCTTTTGTGGGAGTTCCAAAGGTGCAGCCACCCGGATTGGCCCATCACTGACTTGCGCCATGGTCATTTTCTTGCTGGTTCCTAGGGAAGAATGACCCCCACAACCCATCGCTAGTTTCCTCCCGGAAGGTCATTCCTTAAGCAGCGGGGTCATACCCGCTATGGAGCCTGGTGGAGACGTTTTTGTTTTCTTCTTCTTTTTTTCTTTTTTCTCCGAGCGCAAAGGTTCATATGGCAGCTTCCGAGCCTGAAGTGGACGCAAAAAACGCACCCCTTTTTGTGACCTTTGGCTACCCTCCCAGCAAACATGGAACCTGATGCCACGTACGTCTTCCCAGACGGCTCCATACCAAGGCCCCGAGATTTTCCCTAGGCGACACTGGGACACGTGCCGCTGCCTTGAAAGCCTCAAGACAGGAACCCTGAAGGAAAAACAACTTTTAGGGGGTCCCTCGAAAAAAATAGTGATTGAAAAAAACACAAAAATGGATCCTTTATGTTGACGTCTGAGGAGCGGTGCTTTCTCAACACTCAAAGAAGTCCTGTTTGGAAAAATCGCAGGTTTGGAAAGAATGAAGCAACCAGCCGCTCTTGGCTTCCTTCCAGAGCAATTTCAAATCATAGTCTATATTGAGACCCTGCTGCTTCCTTGCTCGTTTGGCTGCTCACTTGGGGCTGCCAGAACCGCCCTCGCTCATACCGGAGGTCGTCTTGATGTGCCGCCAGTGGGAGTGGTTGAAGACATCTTGCCTCGTGCTTTCTGCGCCGATCTGCTGCTGTCGGTGACCCCGGATTCAGAAGTACTGTGGATGGACGAAATCCTGCACCACTACCATGGTAAACCATTGTGGCATTTACATGGGAATCATCATTCTAGGGTTTCTTAGGTGGTGCAGGCTTTCGTCCATCCACAGTATGGTTGAATCATTGGGGGGCACTCCCCCAAAAGTGATCTGGATCCACTCTAAAACAGCAAACCCTCTGCGTATTGACCATGGGTCAACTACTTCTGGGTTCCATGTAGCGAGTTGTTCTCAACCAGGCAAACAGGGGTTTGCTAGCTAGTCCCGGAATCTCATAATTTTTCTTTGGCGAGTTTGCCCGCGCCACGTCTCGAACAGCAAGCAATGCTCAGCTTCCTGCGGCATTTCTACTGTGAGAGTTGCCCCGGTGCCCCTGGTAGCAGGGACTCTGTTCTTGTTCGATCAGAGAAAGGCTTCCGGGAAGCCACCGAGGACCTGCCAGAAACCCCACGGAATGATTTTCGACTCACCATGGAAATACCCCACAGACAAATGGCCGATTCAGCCATGGTTTCAGAGTGGTGCTGAGCAACTGAGAAAACTCTCCGCACGAGTTGCTGGCAACTTGGGCCAATCGCGATGACACGAGCGTCTTCAGCGGCTCGATCTCCAAGCAGAATCGCAACACTGTCAGGCGTGCTAATCAGCTCCACTGCTTTGCCCCTACGTCGAACTTAAACAAATGATAGAATGACACCATGACAACGATCGCGCTATTATCTGCCTTAACTCCCCTTTATTTGAGTATGTGTCGAAATAACGGGATCCTGAAATGGTATTCCTTGTGGCTTGCAACTTGAAAAAAGGTACCCCTCAACAAAACAAATCCAATCCCGCCACGCGGAAGAGTATCATGTAAATATCGCTCGACCCATCCCTGAGCCAACATGATTTTCCCCAATTCCATTTCCCAGACACACTCGGGATTCAGAAGCATGGGTCTCTCATCAAAATGAGGTCTGTCCCTTTGTCACTCGAGGTGGGGGTCTGGAGCCCACAAAGAGCAGAAACTGCTGCCCCAACGGGGTGCTCTCCAACACGGGGAGGGCTCCATTGCAAACTTTGCAACCCTGACCCCCTCCCTCCGCGCCAAACACGGAGAAACCGAGCCCCAGGGGCACGCTGGTAGCGTCCAACTCCTCCTATGGGCGAACCAAGAGGGGCGCTCGAAAACGGAGGGCCTTCCCTTGGTTGACGTTGGGTTAGGGGAGCAAAAAATTAATTAAACTCTAGCAGCTAAGTGCTTGGATTTCAACCACTAGACCACCAGAAGATCAAGCATGTAAAAAAAAAGTTTCCCAACAACAACCACGTTCCAAAACGGGGGCCTTGGGTAAATGTAAAAAACATGTTTCCCAACCACCATGGTTCCAGGGGTAGCTCCATGTCCAGTCCGAATCTTTCGAAGCCTGCAGAAACCCGAGCCCTAGAGGTGTTGTGAAGACCCCACCACCGGAGCTGTGAAGATGGGCGCAACTTTTTGGAGCAGAATGGGAAAACCACCCCCCTACCTTTGGAAGATGGGCATAAAACAAAAATTTCGGGATGCCCGCCCTGCACGAAAAAAAAAAAAAAAACTCTAGGGGACTGTCTTTTGCCAGACTTCTCATAGGAACGGAACCCAATTGAAGAGCAGTTTGTTTTCCTGTTGGTCCAGCCCAACCGATAAAACCTCTCCAAAATCAACAAATCCAGGCGATCCCCTTTCTGGGCATGCATTCAAGCATATGAAACTCATAAACAAACCTACGGACCCTTGCGCTTGCTATCCAAGCAACCTGCAGTGGAAGGATTTAGTTTTGCACCAGCAAGTTAAGCACACATGCCGCATCATGGATTCGCTCGTTTCGGCGGGTGGGAGACAAAATCAAGAAACGCCCAGAACAGCTGCCCCTCACCCCCTTCAAGGCTGAGATCGCTTTCAAAAGATGAGTTGCTTCTTAAGTCGCCCCAAACAATCAGAAAACAACCCACGCGAATCCAACTGCTTGCCAACATGCCAAAAACCTGTTGCGAAACTTCCACCATTCATTACAAATACTTGTGGCATGGCTTGTCAAATGGATTGTGGGCTTGCCTGCCCTTTCAAATTTTGACTGTCAGCAGTTCATATTGAAATTTCTGAAGTGAGAGCCCTCCTAACCCGATTCACAGACTTGCTGGATGAGTGGTTCCACATCTCGAGCTCACAAGTGGTCGGTGGAATGAGGGTCTCCGCAAGTTGTGGTGATGAAGATCCTACCCCCTGCTTCCTTGTGAGAGAAATGCACTTGCCATAGGGTACCAAGCTGCTGGGTATTGAACCTTCTCATTGGCCATTGATTGCTGGCAGCGCGCGTGTGGGCTGGAAATGCGACTGTTCTGCCCCGTTGACATGCTGAATAATCTGTTGCCAGCAGATCAGGAAATGTGAGTGGTGGCAACATTAACTTCCACACCGTCAGAGGCAGGGTCTCTAGCCCCGATGCTTACTGATGGCCTGCAATAGATGGTATGGGAGGAGGTGAGAGAATAACTCATACTACTTGCACTTTCCATAGGTCATCTACACAAATTCTGACAAGTAGATCTCGTATGGTCAGAGAGAAAAATATGCATATGAAAAAACGACACAATGGAACATAGAAATGCCCTGTACTACATGAAACACACTGGTTTTGAAGGAAAACAGTGCTTTCACTGAACCGAGGTATCCATTTCTGATGCTAGCAAACCTCTCCATGTTAACCAATAGCAAGCTAGCAGCCTGATGACACTTAACCAAGATGTATCACCAATCATGACGGTTCGCTTCAGAAATCCCTGGGATTATGTGCCAAAAACACCCGAGTGGTAGCACCAGTCATGGCACTTTCGCTTCAGAAATCCCTGGGATTATGTGCCAAAAGCACCCGAGATGTATCACCAGTCATGGCACTTTCGCTTCAGAAATCCCTGGGATTATGTGCCAAAAACAACCGAGTGGTAGCACCAGTCATGCTTCAACTGAATTGCCATAGAGGGTGTGATGCACAAGGCAAGCCATGAGAATACTACACGCAATTGGGCCCAGAAGCAAGATGCATAGAACATGCTTTTCTAGAACTATCGCCCCAGTGCAACAAAACACCTTGTTACCACAGGTGTTTGTTCATCGAAGGTGAAGGCAAAGCAGCAATCAATGTCGGTGCTAGTTGCAGAGATTATTATCGCTAATAAGCAAACACTTTTAACCCTGCATCATCAATCGCACAAGAGGTTTGCCATTATGGTGCTATTCATACAGATCCTCAAGCAGCAAACGCTAGCTAAGCGTATAAGCTGTCAAGATGCATAGCTTAATTTACAAATATGGCGACCCATGAAATTCAAACCTAAGACACTGAATCACATGCAACTTCAAGGAAGTTGTCCAAGCAAACAAGGTATTGTGGAACTTTGCAAATAGGGGCTAGGGACTAGGGGAAACAACAAATAAAGGCGGTCCAAATCCTGGCCTACATATTCCGGTCCAGTGATGTTGGGGTATGGGGGGAAACGAGAGAAAACTCTATCTGTTCCAGACATCCCCAGACTTGGCCCAGGTCAAACCCGACTCAGCCTAGTTCAAACTCGTTTGTGTATTTGACAAGGAGGGACAAAAAGAAATGCGAAGAACCAATCCACGTCAAAAGTCCATTTCTTTGGACAGAAGCCACACTTTCGAATCGGTTCTGACCAGCCTGAAGCCCATTTGACCCGGGTAGAACCTTATTTTGGCAAGTTATTTCTTGGAAGAACATATTTGTTTGGACAGAAGCTACTAACCCAGTGGGTTCTGACCAGCAAGCGCAGTTCCAACCGGCCACCTTTTGGTCGGCCAGTTATTTCTTCTTGCAACGCCCTTTTTTCGAACAGAAGCCACCGATCCAACCGATATGTTTAAATCTAACATCCGGAAAGCTCATTCTTAGCAGTTCTCTTGTCGCAGCCGCCCCCAGTTTCCCGGTTGTGTCCGGGATCACTCGGACCTTGGACACTACAATTCGAGTGTCGATTGACTTGAAGGAAATCCATGTCCACCAGACCCATCCTTCAGAGTCAAAAAGGCGACCCCAAGTGTCAAAGGGACTTGGACCAACTGGCAACGGCTTCCTTTCCCATCAAAACCAAGCAAGAGAGAAGGTACCTGGACTCCACACCACCCTAAGTGCAGAACAAAGGACCCTAGTAACCTACTACCTCCAATAGAGAGGTTAGAATAAGGGTACCAACTTCTTTCCGTTTTGTCTATTTTAGTAGGGGAACCCGCCCAACCAAAAAAGAAATGGATGAGAAAGGGCACTATGGGGGGACCTAGTAGTGCTGGAAAAAAGCGGAACTTTCTCATTCTAAGCCCATTTTGAAAATCCGGGTACCCTCCAACAACAGACCCCAGCAAGCCAACCAAGCCAAGCATCACGCAACCCGGTGACGGTCACCCGCCTGAACTTCCGGCCCCTCATTCCGTGCCGAGCCGAAGCCGTGCTGGTGCAGCGTATGAAGAACCTCCTCGAACAGCACCTCCACCTGATTTATTGATTTTTGACCGAACTCTTTGTGTTTGTTTGTTGGCTTCGGATTAATGTGCGTGAAAAACCACCCCCACCTGAAAAAATATTGGCCGAACTCTTTCTGTTTGTTTGTTGGCTTCGGATTTATGGGCGTGAAGAACCACATCCACCTGAAAAGAAAAAAACAATGACCGAACTCTTTGTGTTTGTTTGTTGGCTTCGGATCAATGGGCGTGAAAAACCACCTCCACCTGAAAAAAAAAAAAAACATTGACCGAACTCTTTGTGTTTGTTTGTTGGCTTCGGATCAATGGGCGTGAAAAACCACCTCCACCTGAAAAAAAAACATTGACCGAACTCTTTGTGTTTGTTTGTTGGCTTCGGATCAATGGGCGTGAAAAACCACCTCCACCTGAAAAAAAAAAAAAAAACATTGACCGAACTCTTTGTGTTTGTTTGTTGGCTTCGGATCAATGGGCGTGAAAAACCACCTCCACCTGAAAAAAAAAAAACAAAAAACATTGACCGAACTCTTTGTGTTTGTTTCTTAACTTCGGATCAATGGGCGTGAAAAACCACCTCCACCTGAAAAAAAAAAACATTGACCGAACTCTTTGTGTTTGTTTGTTGGCTTCGGATTAATGTGCGTCAAAAACCACCCCCACCTGAAAAAATATTGACCGAACTCTTTCTGTTTGTTTGTTGGCTTCGGATTTATGGGCGTGAAAAACCACATCCACCTGAAAAGAAAAAAAACAATGACCGAACTCTTTGTGTTTGTTTGTTGGCTTCGGATTAATGTGCGTGAAAAACCACCCCCACCTGAAAAAATATTGACCGAACTCTTTCTGTTTGTTTGTTGGCTTCGGATTTATGGGCGTGAAAAACCACATCCACCTGAAAAGAAAAAAACAATGACCGAACTCTTTGTGTTTGTTTGTTGGCTTCGGATTAATGTGCGTGAAAAACCACCCCCACCTGAACAAAACATTGACCGAACTCTTTGTGTTTGTTTGTTGGCTTCGGATCAATGGGCGTGAAAAACCACCTCCACCCGGGAAAAACATGACCGAACTCTTTGTGTTTGTTTGTTGGCTTCGGATTAATGGGGGTGAAAAACCACATCCACCTCAAACAAATATTGACCGAACTCTTTGTATTTGTTTGTTGGCTTCGGATTTATGGGCGTGAAAACCACCTCCACCTGAAAAAACAAACATTGACCGAACTCTTTGTTTTTTTGTTGGCTTCGGCTTACTGGGCGTGAAAAACCACCTCCACCAAAAAAAAAGACCGAACTCTTTGTATTTTTTGGTCGGCTTCGGATTAATGAGTGTACCTGAAACAACATTGACCGAACTCTTTGTGTTTGTTTATTGGCTTCGGCTTAATGGGGCGTGAATATACCTAGACTCTCCATGACCCTTAAACATCGGGGTCATGACCCCTGAAATTTTGGGTAATGACCAACCATTTTTATTTCGGGTCATGGAGACTCTAGGTACCCGATCCCCCCTTTAAGTGCAAACCTCTACTTTCCGGAGGTTCATCCAAATCTCAGGAGGCAATCGATTTGCTATTGACTGTAAGGTCGTGGAGACTCTAGGTATAACTGTTAGAGGGTTCCATACAAAGCCATAACTCTAGGTATAACTCTTAGACCCATTTCGTTTTTGGTTGGGAGGGTTTCCCCCTACTCAAGTAGACTACGGGAACAACGTCTCCATAGCGCCCACTTCACGCGCCTTGGTCTCGATGCGCCAAATGTCCAGCGCCTTGGCGTTGCCACGCAGCCGGGCGGCGCCCTCGATGAACTCCGAGAGCCTCGGGGTCAGGGCTGAGGTTCCGAGCCGCCAGTTTTTTGTTTTGTTAATATATATATAGATATACATATATATGTATATTGTTTGTCGCTTTTTTGTTCTTTCCGTTTTAGTGTGTTGTTTTTGTTGTTGTTTGTTTTGTTCTGTTTGTGTTTTCCTTGTTTTTTTGTTGACCTGTTTTTTTTTTCCCGGCGGAACCAACAAGAAAAATGGAGCTGGAACTGGCCAGAGAAAACATGGGCTGGAAAACAAACTAAACAACACTGGCCAGTTGGGAAAACTATGGCCTCTGTTGATTGCTGCAAGGCAAGCTGTGGCATTTTTCATGCGTCCTTCCAAACCTTCCTTGCGGTCAAAACGCCCAAGGGTTGTTTAGGTTCTCATGGGCCGGTTGCAAAGGACCGATGCGCGAAGTCAAACTGTCGAACCGCTGAGTGTGGGAGAACGACCTGGCCCCATGATTTTACTATCAAAGTCACATGTTCAAGTGGTGGGTTGAAGGGAAACAACCGATTCCATATTCTGACTTTGAGAAAACCCCCCAGAGACAGGACCAAAAAGATGACCCCTCTATAAGCCTTGTGGACAAGTTGACCCTTTCCGCCCCAGGGCAACGGGCCGAAAGCCTTTCCTGCGAAGCAGGCCTGGCAAGCTCGGAAACACCTGACTAGTAGATCATCCATCATCCATGGGTTGGCTTCGGGGTTGGTTGAGGGTGGTTTAGGGCTGGTTGTTTAGGTTTGTTTAGGGTTGGGTAAGGGTGGTTTAGGGTTCGTTTGGGGCTGGTTTAGGGTTGGTTTAGGGCCGGCTTCAGTTGGTTTAGGGTTGGTTTGGGGGCCCACTTCGGATCAATGCGGGTTGATTATTCTTCATGGGGAGTCTTAAGGGCCCTCACAGTCCGGTCACCATGTATCCGAAGTTCTCATGAGATGCTAGTTTCCTCCAAACAAGCCACTAGGGGATGGATTTATCTATAAAAGGCTGAATCTATGAACCTAGATGTGAACCCCAGGTGTACATTTACGGAACAGCTTATAAATTCATATCGCGAGCCATCAGCTCAAGTTCTGGGGAGGAGCGAATCTCCATTTGGAGGGTGGGGGGGGAATAGATTGCAATGCGGCCCCAGATACTAATGGGGAAACAGCTGACAGGTTACAAGCCCGGACAGCCTCAAAAAAATGAGCTTGCCCTGCACAGCTAAACATTGTTTTGAGAAGTCGCCACATTGCATCCCAGCATCGGCACGGCCTTATTGTCTAGGCTTCTGAAGCAGCACTTTGGATTCCCACTTATCCCGCATTTGAATTCCCAGCTTTCCCCCGGATCCCCCCTCTCCTAACCCCCGCTCCCCCACCTTTCCTCCAAAAAAGGAATTCATGAATTGAACCCTCGCTGGATAACTCATTGGGGTCTAAATTTGGGAAACCAAGGGGAGGTGGTTGGAATCCCACTATCTCACCCCAAGAGACGCCCATCTTTGCCATTCTCTTCACGGCAATAGGTTCCAGTTCAGTTTTGCTTGGCTTCTGGCGAAACGGCATCCAAAAAAGGCCTGCGCATCTAAGGGACCCTCCAAGGGCAGCGGCAAACCCGCCTTTGACAAATCGTAGCTGTTGAACGTTGATCCCTGATTAGTAAACCGTCCAGTTCAACGTGAAGCCAGGGGGTCAACGTGAAGCCAGGACACCCAATTAGCAAGGGACCCCACGTGAGTCATAATCAGAACCCGGTATCAAAATGGTCTACCTAGAACCACGCTTCAAGAATTAAGAAGGCGTAATTCCGCAGATATTTATGTCCCTTACGAACCTTCATCTACCCGGGTTTTGATTGTGGCGCAGTTCACCAAGCAGGAGTGGACTTCACCTTGAGTGCTCAAAGGGGCGGTCGGGTCTGTCAGGTAAGTGGATAGCAACCATGGTGAGACCCACGAAAGCCGTGGTCATAAGTCTCCGTTCAGTGGGTTATCTCACCATTCTTAGGAACCACTTACTCAGTACCTAGACTCTCCATGACCCTTAACAAATGGGGTCATGACCCCTTAATTTTGGGTAATCACCAACCATGTTTAAAGGGTCATGGAGACTCTATAGAGCTAGGTACCCGATCCCCCCTTTAAGTGCAATCCTCAACTTTCCGGAGGTTCCAAATCTCAGGCAATCGATTTGCTATTGACTGTAACTGGCCAACGTTGGGCAAATGAGCCACCGCTGTTACAAGTCCCGTCCCTGAGAGGGGAAGAAAGTGGTATCCCTGTTCTACATTCCCTTGAGCAAAGGATCGCCTCCTGGTCTGGTTGTGCTTTGCTTTGCTAGCGGTCATTGGACACATCTTTGTTCCTCTAGCTTTTCTCGCTCTTAACTGTTCTCGATGGCCCTGGAAGCCAAGCAGCGTAATCTGCCCGTCTCCATTGTCGAGAAACTCAAACAAGCTAAGTAGGTCGTGGTACTCCAGCCTTGGCGCCGCTTCGGCAAGGCTGCCGGGCCTGTGAACCCACCACGCCGCGCCGAAACCGAGAAAAAACAAACAAACTTTATAATAACAATAAATAAACATAATATATAATAATAATAATAATAATAATAATAATAATAATAATAATAATAATAATAATAATAATAATAATAATAATAATAATAACAATAACAATAATAATGAAAATAATAATAATAATACTAATAATACTAATAATAATAATAATATAATATAATAATAATAATAATAACACTAATAATACTACTACTAATAATAATAATAATATATAATAATAATGATAATAATAATAATAATACTAATAATAATAATACTAATAATAATAATACTAATAATAATAATAATAATAATAATACTAATAATATATAATAATATTAATAAGGATAATAATAATACTAATAATAATGATAATAATAAAATATAATAATAATAATACTAATAATAATAATAATACTAATAATAATAATATAATAATATTAATAATAATAATAATAATAATAATAATAATAAAAATAATAATAATAATAATAATATATAATAATAATAATACTAATAATAATAATACTAATAATAATAATAATAATAATAATAATAATAATAATAATAATATATAATAATAATAATAATAATAATAATAATAATAATAATAATAATAATGATAATAATAATAATAATAATACTAATAATCACAATAATAATAATACTAATAATAAAATAATAATACTAATAATAATGATAATAATAATAATACTAATAATAATAATACTAATACTAATAATAATAATACATGTGGCACGCTTTTCTTTTTTCTCTCTCTCTCTCTCTCTTTGTTTCTTTTTTCGAGAGGATTCATGCCAACTCAAGTGTACTAAGTGGCCCCGAACTCGTAAACTTCTGGGCGAGATGTTTCACCCAGTACTAAGTTGAGGCCCAGGCCGACGGACCCAGAAGAAGCCACCCACAACTCACATTCGAAAAAAAATCCCCAGCCCCGGGACCGACATTTCGGGAACCCAAAAACCAGGGATCGAAAAGGGCAAAAAAAAACAGGATCCGAAAAAAATCAGGGAGCAAATCCGGAAACACGCATGTGCAGAATACCCTTGCCCACCGAAATGTGCCAGAAGCCTTTTGCAGCAAACCAGCCTTTAAGCCGCCTAGCCTCCAGCAAAGCATCAAGATTTACTAGGGGTACCTTCCCCATTCTTTCCAGGGATCCGAATCTTTCTAGAAAACCTCAAGAAACCAGTGAAAACGACCGGTTGTTGAAAAGAACGATGGTTGAAAATAATGGACAAGGAATCAACCCCCGGAGATGTACTAGAACTCTGCGGAAAGCCATGCTAGACCGTGGTTTCTGTTCAGCTTTTTCCGCAGAGAAGATCTACCTCAATTGTTCAGTGACCCTGGAAGACCATCTTTTGTGGGGCAGCCACCAAAAAAAGGGGAAAAAGAATTGGTGCCACGGAAGAACTGAGCTACAGTGCCATGCTAAAAAAAGCTGCAGAAGCTCAAGCCTCGAGTTTCCAATGCCCCAAGACTCCATCTTGAGGTTTACACAAAGCCCCACACCAGAAAGAAAGGCTTCGCATTCAGAAACACCCGGCCCGCAAACATCCAGAATCCTCAGCTAGTCATTTGCAGTTTGCACAGAGCCACGCTCAAAGCATATAGAAACTCAAGGTTCAGATCTCATATTTCCAGATCTAAAAACAAATGCACGGCAAGGAAAAAAATATTAATAATAATAATGTAGCCGCTTTCAAAAAAGTGATGCCCCAACACTCCATCATGAGGTACCCCACCCAAACCCACATTGGTAAATGTTGCATCCTCAACGAGCACCAGTCAATTGCTACGAAAGAACTTGACCCTTCAAACCCTCAAGCTGCAAAATGTTTCAGCTGAATCTGGTTGCTTCGAGATACTACAAGTACTCCAAGTACTACAAGTACTCCAAGTACTCCAAGTACTACCAGCAGTACTACAAGCAAGACTCCAAAAGTGTTTGCTGGGTTTGCCTCATGTCTCAATCTAGTGGTATGCACCCAACCTGGATACACCCTCGCAAACTCCGATTTTGGGGGATAAAAACGGGCACCAACTCACCCCCAGAACTTTCCAAGAACCCAAGGCGAAGCCGACCGACCCTCGCCCGCGGTTCTTTCTTCTGACCCGCCAGCCCAAGGGGCTCCAGCTGGCTCATCCAGAACTTCAGCTTCGGCGACTGCACCAACTTCGAGAACTCCTCTCGCTCCGAAACGAGCCTTCTGACGATGGCCCTTTTCATGGGGTCTGGGGGGGAGGGAGGGAGGGAGCCCAAATAAGCCCTAAAAATAAGGCCCAGTGACCATACTGTGGATGGACGAAATCCGGCACCACCACAGAAACCCTAGAATGATGATTCCCCTGAAAATACCAACAAACCATGGTTTCCCGTGGTTTCAAAGTGGTGCAGGATTTCGTCCATCCACAGTAGGTGTCCTTTTTGGGGCAAATGGATTTCCCTGGTGGATGATTGAACCACCAGGTAAACCAGGGCCATCTATGTTTCGACCAAAACAAGCAAAAAGCTTCTGACATCAATGGCCGTCATGGGGGCTGGGGGGGGGGGGGGGAGGGAGGGCCGAAAAAACAAGCCCTAAATTTTGGAAGCCTTAGTTAGGGCATATTTTTGTTTCTCCCCCTCCCCTCCCCTCCCTCCCCCCAGCCTCCATGCCTCATTGCCCTGGGGTTCATGCTCCATGAAAAAACAAGGGTTGGGCTCGTATAACCACCCCTGTTTACCTAAGGATTGTGATCATCCAAGTTGGGTCAACCATTCCTTGAATAGGGGTTAAAGCCTAGAGCTGCTGGTGTGATAGGCAGGGAATGAGACATGGAATGGCCATAAACCATCCCTTGCGGCTTCCTTTCAGGGAAGCTCCTTCCGGTTCATTCCCAACACCCTGGGTCATTCCCTACTGAGCTTTAGAGGGCTCCCAAAAAGAAAAACGCGGAGCCCTTGACCAGCCGAACATGCTCCCCGAAAAGCGAAACACTGGACCAGGATCCGGGCCCTCCCTTCGAAAAATATCACTCAAACCTAGAACCCCTCGCTTCACTTCACTTCACTCAGCCTCCTGAAAAGGCCCCCAAGAGGCTGGGTCTCAGCAAGGCAATGACAGGGTTTTTGGTTCGGGAATCGCTGGCTGGCTCGAAGCTGCATGGGATGGGAGGGAATGGGCTACATCATTTAAATGGGCTGGGACCTTCAAAACCAAATTTCGGTGTGTCTCTTTTTGAGGGAACTGTTCTTGGGCTTTGTTTGAAGGGAAACACAGCAACACCACACAACTTTGAGTGGACCCGCAAGAAAGACAGACCCATGGAGTCATGATTGAAGGAGTCAACTATTTGTAGCTGTTTAGCCCTCTAAAAAAAGGGAAAGAAGTCATCTCTGGCCAGCGCAAGAAGGGCCTGAGGCATACATATTGTTGCAACTCAAGTGAGGAACTCAAAACGGACATTTTAGCATTCAGGCCAGACAAGGCGGCCCATCTACTCAAAAAAATACGAACCAGCGAGGGGTCAAAAGGCAAAGCTCGTTTTCTGGGCGGGTTCCCGGTCTTTGAAAAGGAAGGTTTTGAGGGGCTCACAAGCAAACGTTTGTGGTAGCTTCCCTTTGAACCTCGGGCAGATTCAAGGGACAATCGTTGGCTGATAGCTTAAACTTCCCTCGAATTCTAGGATCCTACCCTGCGAATTGACAATGGGTTGCTTTTCAGAAATCAAAGCTGATCCTTTGATGGGGCTGCCCTAGTTTGTCACGTAGCTGCACCCAAACAATGGGTGACTTCCATACTTCTAGGGGTAACTTCCAACCAGTCTTTCCAAGGATCCTTATTTCTAGAAAACCACCAAAAACCTGAGAAATGGCTGGGTGTTTGAAAAGAACGATGGCTGAAAAGAATGGGGAATCAACCCCTCGACTAGTTTTGGATTTGTGGTTTGGAGGTTAGGGGCAGTTCCCATGTACCCTCAACAAGAACCAGGGGTTCAATCTGCAAACCAACAATCCAAACCAGATTAGTGAGTACCAGATAGCCTTTTCTGATATCTACCCGTCAGACGGGGGTTTGAATGTGAGCTCATGTATGGTCATTTATCAACTAAAACTTAGCAGGACACACACCAACACAGCACGAAACTAAAACCAGCACGCGCCAGGAGTGACCATCAAGCATGTTCATCCATTTGGGTGTGGTCTTGTTTGTTTGAGGTCACGTTTGGATTGGTTTTCAAGGGAAATCAAAAAAACCCTTGCCCATTCTTAGGTTCTTACCCTGCTTGCACCCCGAAGCCACAAAGAAAAAACTGCCGCGGCTTCTGTCCAAGACCTGCGAGCGAAAGCTTGATGCTCAGCGCCGTAAACAAAAATGATCACATGAAGATTTAACAGCGCCATAACATGATTTGACCATGATATATGTTGGATAATGTCCATTTCCTTAAGCTCCCTGGAAAAAATAACAATATTTCCAGTAGTGAAATCGATTCCTTTTAAAACCAACAGGGGAAACTAACCAATATTCTTAAACAAATGGAAGATAACCAATTATGCTGTATGATATATGTCATGGTATAATATCATTATCATGAAATATCGTTAATAAGAAACTGAAACCACATGAAACAAGAACAGGTAGGTTGTGGTGAAGGAACCCAACAAACCCCAGGTTTGACCAGTGAGCCAACCACCAGCTCTATTTTTGTGAGCAGTTGTTTGCTTCTCCCCCCCCCTCCCCCCCCGCAAAAAAAAAGGGGCTGGAGAGAACGACTAAACATACTAAAATGAAACAAACCAAACACAAACACAAACAATCGAACGGACGAACAAACAAAACACAAACACAAAACAAACAAACAACAACCAACCAACCAACCAACCAACCAACCGACCAACCGACCAAACAAACAAACAAACAAACAAGCAAGCAAACAAACAAACAAACATCTTCAACCGGTTTTGTCTCCTCCAGGGAGATGGTGCCATCCCCCGAGGAGTCAATGGACTGGAAGAGCCTTCGGACCTCCAAAAAGGCTCACGTCGGGGGTGGGGGCGGGGTGGGGGGAAGATCCTTTTGGCGGTATTTGGTTGGGGTTAAAGGGGAAACCCAAAGAAAAACCAAAGACCATGGGGTGAGCTTTTATACGGAAACTCAAGGAAACCAAACATTTTGGGGTGCATTGCTTCGGAGGTCACGGATTTGAGAGTGGCTCGGGGTGAGTTTAAAAGGGAAAACTCAAGGAAACATAAGGAAACCACACATTTCGGGGTGCAATTGTTTCAGGTCGCTGATTGGCTCGAAATGGGATTCGGAGCCTTTTGGTTGGCATCCGATTTTAGACCCTATCTTGAGAAACCCTCATTTCCCGTGAAAAAGTTGCACAATTAATTACTGGCGGTTCCATTCAAACAGCTCTCTCTCTCTCTCTCTCTCTCTCTCGCTATCTCTCTCTTTGTAGCGGTGAGGAAATCTAGTTTGTTTTGTTGTTCGGTACTGTGGATGGACAAAATCTGTTTCGCAGCAGTTGGTACATGGTTTTTGTCCCAAACGGCAAAGTTCAAGGCCCCCAACCCCAAAAATAAATCTGCCTGGAGTCTCCATGACCCTTTAACAATAAGACCAGAAAATAAATTTGTCAGGCTGGTAACGGGAAGGGGCTTGTCTAGAGATGATGACCCTTCCTTCGCTCGTTTCCTCACGGTGGAATGAATCTCATGCACTAGACAAGAGCGAAGTGATGGATAGGGAAGTGAGTTGAATGACAGAGAAAGGAAGCAGAGATGATGAATGAAGGAATATTTGGCCAATCATAAAGTCGGGTTCCCCTAAAAACCGATACACCCAGGCTATGATTGCATCATGCACTAATTGATTGATTGATTGATTGATTGATTGATTGATTGATTGATTGATTGATTGATTGATTGACTGACTGACTGA